ATTACAACAACATTGTCCGCTAGTTTAAATGTCCGCTTCCGCCTTAAATACGACCTTGAAACACAAGCACCTGCATCCGGAATCCAAACCCTTCTGAGGGCTTGCTAACCGTCCCGACTTAATCTAGAAACCGGATGGAATATCTTTTCAATCAAGGTATGATCGAAAATTCCTGGAGGGATGTCTGTGTCCAACGAAGACGTTGGTCTTTTAAAGTATTAAGATCATGCATATTGTGTCAGTAGTGTGCGACGCTTATGGGCGTAAAAGCAGGTGGAACAACACAAGCCATCATATCAAATATGGATATCCCTATGAATATTGGCTGAATGAACTAAAATTAGGTAAAGGAGCTCGAATCAGAGTCCACCTAATGTTGAAGATGCAAACACGAACGAATTACTAAGACAGGAGAAGCAGATGCAAGAAGGCTATCTTAGGTAACCAGAGGGAAGTAGGTATGTTTATAATTCCACTATTTGTGATTCACCTGATCTGCTATAATGTAGGAAAAAGATAGTTTTCCGTGATTGTGGTGAGCGATAACACACCGGTTCTCAGGTCGATCTTCAAGGCTACCAACCAGTCGGCTTTAGCCATCATGTGCTACTGGTCTGTCAAGGTGTCTGACGATTGTTACTTATGCTTTGCTAAACTCGACAAAACACCCAGCCCCAGCCAAGAAGAGAGAGAGAAGATGCGTGGTTTCACAACATGAAACTGTGTGCACCAAAATCATGTCCCCGGAAAAGTGTTCCCTTTAATATGGGTAGGATATTCGTCATCTGTGAGCTAGTTGTGCAAAGAAAAGATATGAAACACATTCACGTGTTTCAAAGCGACACCATCTGATTTCTCAAAATGCAATAAAAGCATGCGTTTTTGATGCATCTCAACGGTACTATGGCATGAAAGCATTAACTTTCGAACCAGATTTACAAGATGGAGCTGAAAATTATCGACTCAAATGAGTGCAACCAAGAGACAGAGGCCGTGGTTCGAACTCGATCTCTGCCTCTTGACTTCCCCTGTATAGGATTGGACAACCTAGCCGTATCCCAGCCCTCATACTTCCTTTAGGTGTTACAGCTGAACGATCATCTGGTGAGGTAAACGAACCAAAAGTGCGAAGAAAGTTGTCATTTTAAGCTGTTCAGCGATTCAGTTGAAAAAAATAAACCCGCTTCCAATGAGCGTACGGAGGGACATCATTCTCTTTCGTGTCACGAAAGGAATTCTACTGGAAATTCTGCCAGTCCCCCTTTTACATACATGTTACCAATCCCCGTACGAATGGCTTAGGCCCTACTTGCGTGATAGTCCGGATACTGCTAGGTTACCCAAGTTCGGGTAGGAGAACAGTTTAGGTATTCGGTTCATTTCAAAACTCTGAATAAAAGGCAGCAGTTTTCAGTGTGATATTTATACAGCAGCCTCAATATTATGGGACAATTTCACCCGAGAACTGTGGAACCAAAAGATGATGTTCGCAGTTTGGAGTCCGGCTCACAGGGGACTGAAATTCCATGCCATCTTAGGATCTGCCTATCAAGACTCCCCAAACATATGGATTAACGAAACATATAATTGATATCCGAATGTTAACAGTCTGCTGCTTAAATTCTGATATCCATGTGTGTCCAGTCTAACCATCCTTCACCAAGCTCCACTTAGGATTCATGTCAGCAGCTGTAAAACAAACTCGTTTGTCGGTTTAACTTCGATGACTTCATGATAGTGGCATCAGCACAACTATGAACACTATCTTTCCAGATAAGCGAGCGATTTGGCTCCTCACATGGGCGCAGTTCCCAAGTTTCTGTCAGACTTATGTCCTATTTGAACTCAAACTGTACAACGTTCGCGAAATACACATGTTGGAAGGCAGATGTGGTTGCCTACGGAAGACCCAACCGAACCCGAGCTGACTGTCTTGCTCGTGATATTATTGACAGAAGAGATTCTCCATTTAAACCAAATCAGTTTGCAAATGACTGTACTTTGCGAGTCGCGTACGCTTAGGATTCAATTAGAAAATTAGTTTGGTGGGAACTGCGTCTAGCTAGTGACCTCCAAGGGGAGTGAAACCGGTCTAGGACTGACGAAGATTTTTCCGCAACCTTACAAGAGCACTTCCGCTGAGAACCATGGTCACAAATTTATTCTGTGCGAATTGACTATATGCTAAGAACAATCGCTTCATTCTCCTGGGCGACCAAAGTCAACGAACCCAGCCTTTAAACTTCCCTCGTGCAAATGTAACGCCCAAAGTTAGTCGTTGATGCAGACACCCGTATGCTGTAATCAAATCAGAACCTAAGTTGTGTGTGCCAACGTATGAAGCTTTTTATCGACCTCGAAGAACCCGAAGACAACACATGAGTCTTACCCAGTAAAGGTCTATTGTTTATATTTCTAATTCTAGTGACAATATCTCGGTAGCCGGTGTAGAAACACACCTGTTTGCAGACTAAGTTGCTGACGGCAGGCTCAAATGAATAGCAGCAGTCAAAGTGTTTTCCGTAACCTCAAGAGTGGTGCCTGATCGAGGGAAATGCTTTTTCTCTCTCTCAACTATTCGGATTTATCCAGAAAATAATTGTTCGATTCACACAAATCTATCACTGGACAACCAGCTCCCTGTTTCATCAACCTTCGCAATGTGTTGGAGAGAACTGTAAGCATCGACAGAACAATAAGTGAAGTCTTCATTGTGACGCGACCGTTAAAATTCTGTATACAGCGGTGCTTTATTCGCCCATCCATTCATATCCCGACACAGGCCACTGTACAGCAACAACGCGTGACAAAGTGTCTCACCGAGCGAGGTTGGACAATCTCTGGCTTGCGAAGCGAGATGACTCAGTGGTTAGAGCGCGCATTTAGTGACCTCAAGGTCCGTGGTTCGAATCCGGCCTCTGTATCTGGACTTGCCCTGTCTAGGCTTGGGCAACCTAGAAGTATGCAAGCTCTCGTGTTTCCTATGGGTAGCGTGGCAGCTTGGCACCGAAAGGGCGCTACAGCTGTACGATTATTATTTACTTGAAGCGACTTGTGTGTTATGGATGATCATAAAAAGACGAGGACTTACGAATCAGTGGAATGGTTTTATCACCAAGTGTGTTGAAGCCTGGGAAGCCGTCCGGGACATTTAGATGAATTACGAGCTTTACAGATCAGCCAGAAGCATGGGGGCCACAACACGAAAAAGGTTGGGAACCACTGACCTAGAATGAGAAAACCAGCTGAGATACTCCAGTTTATCCACCTCGGCCGGATGTGATCAAGTCAAAGCATATGGATAAAAGTCCCGGTTGTTAAACGTAAATTTCATACGTTCATGCTCTGATTCGGATGACGAGTCCCGGGTGAGGAATATTAAAAACGAGATTTTGGTGAATTAGAGCAGAATCTCCCGTCAACACATAGATAACGTCTTTTTTAATTCAGCCAACGCATTTTTACGGGCGTACCGTACCAAAAGATGCCTGTGAGATTTCCAAATGCTTCTCAGTCGTTGCATGAAGTAGACGAAACAACCCTGAAGAAGCAGTTTGTCCAGAGCTCAAAAGAAATAGATCACACCTTAGCTGTCCGAACTGGGAATCACAAATGACTAAATGGTGAAAGTTTCACGTTATTGACAAATAAGGGGTCGAGATGGCTCAAGTGGTTAGAGTGCGAATTTACTGACCGGAAGGTCCGTGGTTCGAACCCGACCTCTGCCTCTCGACTACCCCTGTCTAGGCTTGGGCAGCCTGACAGTATCCCAGCCCTCGTGCCTCCTTCGTGCGGCATGGCAGCTGGGCACCGAAAGGGTGCTACAGCTGAACGATTTATTATATTGACAAATGACGACTGATGAATGCCGTTCAGAGAGGAATAGCCGAGAAGTGCCACATCCGTATTGATCATAAATACGTGGTAGCCGAGTCTTAGGAATCAGATGAGTTTGACGCCGATGAAAATGCGCCGACCTAGAAAACTTTAACGAGTAGGGCTTCGGAGACTGCTGGTACAAAAAAGGCATTTTCCCCGCTTTTGAGCGATTATTCCGGCTTCATTGCTGATCCCATTTAAGAAATGGTCGCAATAAGTCTTTAATTTTTGAACACTGGTTGGCTCAAAAGAACCAAAAATGATGGCCCAATAGGAAATCGTGCCAGGGGTTACAGAAAACGCTCCTTCATATATCGTTCCTAAATGCTCCCCACACTTTTGAATTGCTTGCCTACGGGGAAACGTCAGTCCCGCAGAACCCAGAGCTACCACTGTTTGAGTTTTAGCGTGCAAATCTGAGAACTTCTGCCCGAATTTTATTACAATTTCTACAAAGGAAACTACTCACAAGGTTGCTGAAACCTACTCGACAGTCCATCACCGGTTTTGCTCTTCTTGAGACTGGCTCATCAAACAGGTACAGTCCCCGAGTTTCCGTCAACCTTACGTTCTACTTGAACCTAGATTGGACAGATTTCGACAAATATTCTCATTTGCATATCATTGTTGATATTCTACATTCATCGGGAGTGAGTGGGATGCAATGCACCCGGATGTGGTCAGTAATGCTTGTCGTAAGACGGGGTTCAAATTAAGTCCGAGGAATTCTCCGAGCCGAGTGATTTCCAGTTAATGGAGAATGCCAATGAACAAGACGAAATGGAGCACATGGTGACAGTGGAGGTGGGTTCCAGTGACGCTAACAGACTTCGCCTCTACTTTAGGGTCTAGAAACGGTGCCTTCAGAAACACAAAATGGTCAGCAAGAAAGAAGAAGCCAAAGGTATAACCCTTGTGGAGGCAAGTAACACGTCTTTCATTTTGCTATTCACTCGCAGCCAGCCCATTTGATTTCGTCACCGTGCCAGGTTCTATCCTGACGACTGAGACAAGAAATACGATTCCATAGATGAACCTGAAATTTTACGATTTTTCAAGGGTGTAAATGAAAACTTGTGAAAAAGATACTCCTTTTGGCTCTTACTATTTCCCTAACTCAGGTGAAATCGTCTTGCGACTGGATTTTGATTGGCGACGTACTAGATGATCGGAATTTATTGCATCCGCTTTGGAAGGTGATGAACAAGTCAGCAAATAAACCTCATGCTGTCTGTCTTTTGTACTTGCTAAGACGTCAGGGTAAGTTAGTGCAGTCTATGGTTAGGTGACATGAAGACGGGAAGTAAGCAGGCAGAACAGAACGGAAACTGGATGGCGGGTTCACCTACGGAAACCGGTCAAATGCAAAAAACACCGGGTCTCTAGACAATTTAGCAACTGCTTCAAGCTGGTAAAAGTTCACACCATGAATATAGGGTTCATGAAAAGAGGACACATCGGTTCAGCTCCCGTCCGAAGTTCAGACATCAGTTTTGGCAGTTTATCAGTGTGGGCTCAATAAAACGCTAGTTCGGTGTTTCGATGACGGTCACTTTATCAGACTATGCGGTGAACTGGGATGTGTGTAAACTTATTATTAGATCCGATGTGGCCCCTTTTGAAAAGCCGACAGATGAATACTGTTTGACCTGCTACGGACAGATTAACAGTTGAGACTAGTGGAAATAAATCGAAGTAACGATTACGTTAGAACAAGCGTTTTGAAGTCCGCTGTTTGCCGCCTAAGGTCGAATAAGCGATTTTCCTGTCAGTGAAATTTCGTATACCTATTAAAGTGAATGCGAACGACAGAATCTGAGGGTCTGTGCAATTCCAGGTCCTTCTTTCTGTTATAGACGAAACAAAAAAATGTGGAACTAGTCCGAGGTTGTGGTGGACGGCTAGCTTCCTAACCGTCGCCGAGGGGCAAACTCATGGAGTCTCTAGGGGCCAGGTCGCTATGGAGATAAGAAAGCCCATGGTGCTTGGCGAGAATACTTAGCATAGGATTGATTCTTGTGCGCAGAACCACCTCGGCTGGATTACTTGAAACTCATTCATGGCTGCGGGATTTGCTTCAAAGAGTACTTATGCTCAAAGCCTGGTGTCCAAAAATGTGTCAAACTTCCTACGTTGACTTCGGAAATATGTGACTCACATCCTTCGTCTCAATGGGGCTAGAAAATGCTCACTTCGATCTCGATCGTTACAAACGATGAAGTCCAAAGGCTCTGCCACTGTTGAAATTAAATTCGGAAACCTCGTCTCGACACAATCACAGACGCAACTGATCGGTCGTTTTCAGAACACCTTCCCATCATCTTGACTTCTTTTCAATATGGTCTGATCAAGCACTCCAATGGGCAGAAACGTAAACGAGGCCTGATTCCACAATAACTATGTATGAACTGAAGCAAGAAATCTCTATAAATTTCTATGGGCAATTAGTTTGTACAAATGGCAAGCGATTTGAAAAAACACATAGCTGTTCCGATTTTGAAGAAGCCAACATGCTTACTTTACACAGAAAATGGAACAGGATTCATCTGTCTAAGACAGAAATACTTCATGGATATCGGCGCAAATACCCTGAGGAATGAAAGACCATTGTGGCAAAATTATGGATTCAAGTTGGTGTTGCTGGAGGAAATTCCTTGAGAGGGACTTCCGAATGAATGGTGCGCGCATCGGAAGAAATCATTATCGCCTCATCGAAAGCCACTTGGTTGATGTAGTCCGGGCGAAGACATTTTACTCAGCATAGCAGACGCAGCAGCTTCAGACTCGTCTACGTGGTCCCTTAACCCTCTGGCCAACTGCTCTGGAGATAAGATCGACGAAATATTGGACTCTTCGTTGTTGTAAGACAGTAGATCAGATAGCATAGTTGCTGGATGGAATTCGCCACCGTGTCGTAGGATGCGTTCCTGGTAGAGCTGAAAAGAGAAGAAATCGGTTGGAGCACAATGACAAAAGTTCACCGTATTCACTTTAGTAAATAAGGCTAATAAGCCTGACAACCGCTCAACACTTGTGTAAGAGGAAGGCGTCTTCAATGTAGATGTTTTTATCAGCTTTCTAATGAACTATAGTTAATCACTTCAAGAAGGTACAACCTGTATCGCCAAGCGACCATCGACTATTCGGCCATGTTGAGGGGGTGAATAACTAATTATATAGATCTGTGGACCTGATTCACGATACCAGAAATAGTCCGCGTAATGTGATTAGAAATGCTGGGACGTCATAGGATCAAAGGGCGAATACAAGGATTGCTGCGATTGATCGGGAAAAAATCGACGGAACAATCAAGAATAATGAACGGTATAGCTAACAAATGTACAGTAGAGTTTCTCAGTCAGTCACTGTATTGGCTATAAACCATGTTTTCGACTGCTACAGTTTCGGTCACCGGAAAATGAGACAGCGTGAGGGAAAGACAGCCAAGCATTGGAGGCGATGATTTAACCAGGTAGTTGGGTAAACTGGGCAACTACACATTGAAGGCGATGGCCTTGATGCACGGGCGCACTGACCTCGTGATTGAGTCATGTCTGTCAGTGTTACTAATCGTAGGTGAGTTGAACCGAGCCTCCATACGGGGAGGCGGCAATCGTCGACCCGACTGAGTTTGATGGTTAGTGTATGAAATTGACTAAAATCCAGAGTTTATTTTAGTTTCATTCGTCTTTCAACCACATGTGGACAAGCTTACTTCAAACCGGGCTACTCTCAGCTACTGAGAGTGTGAGATCAAGACTGTGGTACGAGGACTACAAAGCGAAATGGCGTTGCATAAGTAGGACATCATGGACTAGAGATAAGTGGTAACAGGATCACCAGCTAAATAAAGCTACAGTATTCGTCAATGTCTCCAGCAGTTGAGGTGGTTCCCCGATATCCCTGTCTCTAACAAAACTTGAAGTAATGCATTGTTGAACTTTTAAGCCTCTGCACAATTCACTCGGCGTAGACCGTAGTCAACCAGTCCTTCCGCACTTCACAGTTCTGGATCCTCAAGATTTTCTTCGGAAGGAATTCTGAGTGACAAAAAGAATGCCGAAAAATGTGTCTCGCAGGGTACACATTCCGACTACCATTGCACCAAAGCCACCCGCCTATATAAGCGCTGCACACAGCAACAAAATTGGTCCCCTAGCTACAGCATTTATGCTTGGTAGGTGACTTACATATTATTTACCGCAATGTTTTTTAAAGAAATTTCAACCAGATATAATCAGCCAAGCAATGAAGAGCTGGAGGTTAACAGCGTTGTTTGTATTTTGGCTGAAACAGAGCAATCATTAGAAACCCATTGCTTTACGATTCGACCCCGAGTACTGATGGCCTGTAGTAAAGACGAAACAGAGGTCTGGCGTTTTCCTCACAATGACTGCCTAGAACTCCTCGATCGGCACACACTGCTATTTGTGACGGTTTTCTTGCTAACAGACCAATCACAAAGAGGCCACCGGAATTAGAAGGCAGCACGCAACGACCGTTCCTAATCACGGATGCTCCAACGGTGTCCATTACAGAACAACCTAGTTGTCCAAAAATTTACGAGTGCCAAGCTTTTAAAGGACTTCGAGACAATCGAAGAGCTATTGCGTACACACTGCGGGTTGACAGATCACCAACAGCTTCGGTGCATAGCAGCCATGCCACCCGAAGGGAATACGGGGGCTGAGACATTGTCAGGTTGCCCAAACCTACACAGGACCAGTCGAGATGCGGAGGTCGGAATCGAAGCACGAACCTTCCGGTTAGTAGGTTTTCACCTTAACCACCGAGCTATCTTGAGCTAGGCTGAAGCCAATTCCGGGGTTAATTCGGTGACCATTCTTTGCAAGACACCTAGCAGTGTGGTTCAACCTCCAGTCAGTGTGATTTGGCTGTGACATCACCCCTGTAATGTGCAATCAATAAATACCTGGAAGACCAACAACCACTGCTGATTGACAAAGTGAAGATGGTCTACATGCTGACCCGAATAAATTAAATACAGTCGCCGGTGTTGTGACATCATACCTCATTAGTGCTAAGGAAATCGGCATTTGTTGGAAATGGTGTAAGCATGGAACTGAAACAAACTGATTCAGAATAGGATGTTCGTTAACCGAGAGAGAGGCCTCCACACTAGTATATCAGCCGAGTGCTGACTGGTTACTGTGTCCTAAATAACCACCGAACAGTTGAAGAATGTTGAGTTGCTCAATTCATGAACACGATATAAACTAACTGCCATTGACAAGGCTTTCCATACCTGTCCTTTGGAGGAAGACCATGGGTCATTGGCAAAACACTGACTCCAGACCAAATGGGCACCAGCTCTTGCCATCAAGTACGAGTAATAGCGCCCACCGTAACCAACAAGGTGGCTAAATCGATGAGGCCAAGCCCCCAAGTAGTCCGGATCGCACATCATCCAGTCAGCTACGCCTGCTGCGCGTTGAATTGAAGACAGTAAACACGAGGAAGCGGGCATTGGAGTGCCATAACCCAATGACCGAGTTGTTAGCAGAGTCGACTCTGGATGACCGGAGTGCAACCTTTGATCGAGTTGAGCGTAAGTGGCCTAAAAGGAAGACAGTGAGAAGGCGAAAGCATTCAGACATGGTACAACACAGTCGCACATCACATGCGTCAGCAGTTAAACAATAATTATTGGAAAATTACGAGATGTACTACATGATGACAGCGTCCTTTCCGCATAAAGTCTGACGTATTTATCCTCCTCTGGATAGAACATCGAGGAACCGAGCAAAATGGTCGCTACTTGGAGAAGGGTTATTATTAAAATGTGCCTGAAGAACCATCTAACAGTGGCCTCTCCAGAGGGACAGTTGAGCAAAATAAGAATGAGGGAAACAAGAAATGATGAGGTTGAAAAAACGATATATCTGGTTGTTTATCTAGAGGTAAGTCATAACCGAATTTTGCCGCATGATTTGATGTATTCTTTAGATCCGCAAACGTAAAGTGCTGCCAGAAGACTGGGTGGAACCAAACCAAAACCTGATGCTTGTAGACTAGTCAATCGGTGCAGTGGAAGAATTGTTTTAGTGGGCACATTCATCATCTTCAGATGTAAAAAGCCGCGTACTTGGCGTACAGTAGTCACAACTGCCACAGTTTCGCTCGATGACGATTGGCGGAGGTGGGGAGTAGATAGCTAGATTGAAGACGATCCCTTTCAAACTGGGACAAAAACGGGGTTGCGCTGTTTCCCAACCTTCCTCAGCTAGAGGTATGTAAATTCAGTACTGGCTGTTTTCTGGCCAAAACACTGATGTCCGCTTGCAGATGACTGTACCTTATCTTCGGATTCCGAAGCGGAATTACAGCGGCTGACTACAGCGTTCGGTTCATCGGCGTCTCACCCTAGCTTAAACACAAACATGTCTACAACGTTTACCTTTTGTCAACATATAAACTTAAAACATCACTTATTCTAAGGTACTATGTTGTACGGATTCCCACTACTTTGGTAGCATTATTTCTATAGCTGATACGCAATAATGAAATAAACATACGAACCACAAAAGCCAAAACGGCTTTCGTCGTCTTGCGAAATGTGTCTGAAACAGCTAGCACATGCGAATAAGCACCAAGACCGTAGTGTATTAGGCTGTTATACCGTCTTCACTGCTGAAGGGCAGTGAGACCTGGATGTTATAGAGACTGCATGTTCGAGTTCTCGACCGATGTAACTTGCATTTCCTGCGTGAAATCCTTCGGATTAAATGAAATGACCGAACCCTCAGGATCAAAAAGCAAGCGCTGTTGGGGTTGAGTGCAGTCTGATGCAAAATCAGCACCGCCGATCAGGACATTTGGAATGAATGGCTGAAACATGCAGTTCAAAACAACTTGTCTACGGTCAGCTGAAGAGCAGAGATCTAGGTCGGGAACGTCCGAAATCCCACTATTACGACAGCGTTAAAAAGCTGCAAAGTTCCATTTAGGTCATAGGAGCAACCCGGCAACCAACAGAAAGGGGTTGAGGACGGGCATCTAAAATGGGACAAGCTTTGAGACCAAACGCGTTGCTATGTTGGAAAAGAAGCGAGTCATTCGGAAAAGGTTTGAATCTCTATAATGCAGCCTGGACCACGAGGAATTGCACTACATGCGGCCGCGTGCCTTAGTAGGATCGGTCTTACGGGTTACCAATGTAATTACCGGTCCATCTTGTAAAGTCAACCTTCTAGAAGCCAAGGTTTTCCATTTTCTAATACCTACCTGCCAGACATCGCCATGCTAAAGAACACATCATTAACCACAGGGTCAATGAAATACTGCCGGATACTGCTGAGCATTCAACAACCGGAAATACAACTGTCTGCTGTTCAAACAGGGGCGACTCAACATTGTATTTCAAAAAAGACTATTTCGAAGTCTACCAAACAAGGACAAGTACCAGTCAATTTCGAAAACAACAACGAAACCACTGGTACTCAGCAAGGCGTTCGGAATACGAGTAGCTTGATAAAAGATACACCTACGACTATTTACTTTGGACTAAGACTAACTTTCGTCAGCATTTAAGAGATACTCATTCTGGTCTAAATTGATCGGGCCAGACACATGAAGTCTACGTAGACATTAAACCTGTGAAGCTAAACGATAACGAAGCACTGGTGTTCAACACTGACCTCTGCATCTTGTCTGCTCCTGTCCGGGCAACCTGGGAGTATCTCTGCCCACGTGCTTCCTTAGGGTAGCATGGCAGCCAAGTACTAAAAGGGTGTCACAGCTGAATCATCATATCAATTCTCACCACTGCCTTAGTTGTGGTGCATAGTTTTGAGACGTTAACTTCTTGGTGGCTTCATAGTGAATCCTTCATCGTATTAAAGTAAGATCGAAATTCTCTGCGTCAACTAGATGTGAATGATTATTTACTGTTGTGACCGTTATTGGGAGCGAGATGGCCCAAATAGTTAGAGCGCGAATTAACTGACCGCAAGGTCTGTGGTTCGAACCCGACCTCTGCCTCTCGACTTCCCTGTCTAGACTTGGGTAACCTGGCAGTATGCAAGCCCTCGTGCTTCCTTCTGGTGGCATGGCAGTTAGGCACCGAAAGGGCGCTACGGCTGAAAGATTTGTTTTGATTTGTTGTGGCACATGAATGGTCCTAAAAAGCAACTAGTTTGGAGTATTGCTGCGCCAACATATGGACCTTTGGTCAGAGGAAATTACGCAACAGTATGAGATCCTTTTGGAATTTGATGAGGACGATCAGCTTCCTTAACAATAGGAAATTTATGGGTGATTGCAAAGCAGTCAACGCCAGAAACGGTAGTGTACCTGTTGCAGCAACTCAACACTCAAGCCCAATCCTCCACTGACTGTCAGCCTTTGTAGTGCCAACAGTTCTTCTCGACCTGGAGCTTTCCCAGTTGACCAATGTCTCGCATATTCTTTTGCTACCCGAGAATCCAAAGCAAATCGCTCAAACAAAGTTGATGGCAGTTCAGCCAAGTCGGTGCTACAGCTGAAAAAAATAGAGAACTAAACTGAAGGCCTGGAATAAATTGAAACTACTTTGGAGAGATATGCGCTAAAAAAACTCCTGAATTAGAGAAACATCTTGTCCATTTGTTTACCACTAAAGGTCAATTAGTTGTCCGTGGAGAATCGACAAACCATGAGGAACGTACCGTGTTCCTGTTACGTGTTGGTATCGAGTTCGGGCCAGCATTGAATGTAAAGCGTGGCCCCATTCGTGAAACAGATTTTCGACCTGACCAGGGGAGAGCAGTGGCGGACGTCCTGTTTCCGTGGGAGGTGGTAATGTCAACTGCAGTGTGATTATCGGGTTCTGGTAGTCGTCTCCGTTGAGACATCGGCCACCTCGAATGGTATAGTGGCAATCCTTTGGGAATGTGTGAAAAAAAGGATGTTAAAGAATCGATTTTGACGGTTAAACAACCCTGAAGAAGAGCAGCAGCGCAAAAACCCTGAAGCAAATGGTTTGGGAGACGCCAAAAGACGGGTTTCTGAGTCATGGACAGACAAATTCAGTAAGATGTATATAGTTCCGTGTAAAGGGCTAAAAATAGGAAGGTTTTTATGAAACAGAACTTTGAACGGCTGGTATATGACTGAATACAAAATGGGGTTCTGTCATTGGTGGCACCGAAAAATGCAGACCTTAAAAAATGTATGACCTAGGGAACCAAGCCCTGATAAATCATCCTTACTTCCGATACTAATAGGCATAACAGGATATTCCTCATGCTCACTGCAGATTACATTCACTTATCACTGCATTTATTACGGCCTATGGGAATTGATGAAATACATGTAGAAATGTGGCAACGGCTTACGTGATACGCCAAGAAAAGAGTCGCGCCCTGCATAAAACGATCCTCAGAAAGAGAAAGAAGCCTAACTCAAGCAGTTGGTAGTGATAGTCGATGGCGGTTTGTGAACGGATAAGATACACTACAAGGTAGCAACGCTCTATTGTACAATGAAGTTTTTGAGATCCCTCGTTCTTTTCAGGAGTACTATACGCAGTCATCATCATCATCAAAGAAAGCAACAATAGTGTTGGTACTGATGCTTCGAGTAGGCTACAATCCCGAAAAACATGGACACTGTACCCGAAGACGTCCTTAAAGTGACATTCAATCTCATCTTGATAACCTGTCCAAGTTCACTCAGAAAAACTGTAAAGGAGTATGCTCTGCTCTGGCAACGCCATGAGCCCATGGTGGAGAGCGGGCCTGTATCACATACTGAAGACAGAGTACAGACCGAGTGTGGTCGACCGAAGGTGTGCAAAGCGCCGTTATAGCCAGAACTGTAAGACAGTAGTGGACAAGAAAACATATGATGAACAGAAGGCTAATCGGATGCATGAAGAGGTCGGACGGCAAACAGTGGAAATAATAAGTGGGTTAAGTCAACGATGTAGATGGTTCCAGATGCTTGCAGAACGGCTTCTTCTCAGCTGCCGTCAAAACACCCCACTCGCTAATTACCCTAGTAACTGAAAGTACATGATATACTCGTTGAGCGCATAGGAGGCTCCTTTGAGGTATAGTTCTTTGGAGGTGACTAAACACTGCTAATGGGGAAAAACCAGAATCCATCGTTCGTTTTGTAGAAGCTAGCCTCCGGGGTTCTATTTCTGGTAAGAACCAGTGTTTATACACTATAACTTAGCAGGCGAAAACTGTTCGGGACAAGCCAAAGTGAAGATCCTATAAAAGTAGCATAAATGAATAAAATGATGACGTCCGTAAATAAGAGTTACCTGCGCTGGTTTCCCTGGCCGATCAAGCAAATCACAATAGACTAGGCCAATTTGTTTCTCAGGGCCAGGTTTCATGTCGGGCATTGAATGCCTTCTTGCATAAACCCCAATTTTAACAACAGAAGGATGCCAACATTCGCCTGGTATAATCGGTTCCACACGAAGTTTCAAACCAAAAAGACAGTCTGCCAGCTGGGAGACGCCTTCCATACAGGCTCCTAGGGAAAAATAGTCGACAAGTTGCTGAAAGAAAAAGGCAAGAAAGTTCAGTTGGTTCAAAACAGCAACGGCGCTCTAAATGTGCCACAGAGATAACGATAACCATCAAAGGATTCAGCGTGCTGTCGGATCTGGAGTAGCAACACGTGTCCCATACGCGCAATGGTGCAATACACGAGTATTGCTGACTAAGTTCGATATCATGCTTGCACTGAAAAGATGTTTGCGCGATAAAACAGTTCGAAAGCGGAAAGTTCGATAAGTGACGGGAAACTAGCAACAACAGGCAAGAGGCTGTTAGTGACGAACGGTGATTCTACACTGTAGGGGCAGTGTGGACATTCGAAAGCGGAAAGTTCGATAAGTGACAGGAAACTAGCAACAACAAGCAAGAGGCTGCTAGTGACGAACGATGATTCTACACTGTAGGGGCAGTGTGGACAAAAATACGAAGTAGTGGAGAGATAACAATGTTGGCCAGGTATGAAGGCATTTTGTTTCGTGTAAAACAAACGGTTTAAATTTGGCGTGCGGTTGACAAGGTGACGCGGATATTAGCAACCCGTGGAACAGAAATAGGATGCATGTGGTTGTGCAGAATAGCTTTGGTCTTGACGTTCGGTCTGCACGTTGAAGTCGATCCATGTTCATTTAAACGGTGACTAGGAAACAACATGCGCTGAACTGGATTTTGGTGAGTGTTAAAGTGTTAGAGTTTATTAGTTACCCCAGAAATAGCACAAGGGGAGGGCATTCGAGAACTCAATAAGCGTCACTTAAACGTCTTACTGCGATTAACTCCCATACCATGACAACATGGTATGATATGGTATGGGACAGACAGAGGAAGAGAACAGATTGCTTGGCGAAAATCCTATGGATAGTTCGAAAGCCATAAAATGTATGGTCAGTGTTCTGTAATTCTAAGCCCCTCTGAGTACACTTCATTAGGGTAGGCTAGCACGTCGGCGACCCAGCGAAATCACTAACAGCACTATTGCGATAAAAGTGCATCATGCAGTTGCAAATACCCGAACGCGAATCGGCCGCGGCAAATAACACTAACACCCATCCCACACGTTCACAGGCGAAATGTAGCGCAAAAATTCGCAAGTTGTGCATACTAGTGGAGAAGTTAGGGGGAGAATAGTGCACCAGCTCGATCACTCACACGACAGTGATCAAGGGTGTGGCTATAAATCTAGGGCACACTGGCTTTAACCCAACATACAGTACAAAAAGGCAACTACTGAAGTAAGTTACCTCCCACGCGAATGGTACGCAACATTCACACACGGCTCCAGTGAGTGAATTTTCAACTGTCGACCCTCAGAAAGCAACAACTGTAATCGTTCGATGCACGCAGCTCAGGGTGATCAGGATACCGTTCTCTTCCAGGGTTCTTTGTGGTGAGATCCACGGCACACAGAGCAACTGAAAAATACCAAAGAATAACCAGAAGTGTTAAAAAACAGCGGCTTACGTCGACGCGAGCGGTCTGACGGCACAGTCCCAAAGCGTAGCTAACATCCCATGGCCAAATGCGATCGTGTGCAGGCATGTGACCCAAGTGGTCGGTTGGAAATTTGCTGTTTGACTGACGCGTGGCGGGCACAAGGTGGTCTCGAACGACGTGGCTCGCATTAGGAGATAGCAGGTGGCATAGGTGGTCCAGAAAGAGCCTCACGTTTTCGGAAGTTTCAGCCAGGCTATTTCGGACAGATCGATCAGCGTAAGTGTCGAAACCAGCGGCTCTGTATGGCAGAGCAGAATCAGGGTAGAAGATACATGATGGTTGAATGAAACGAAGGTAAACTACAAAAATACAGGGAGACAATGCTGAGCCGAAAGATCTACTAAGTATCAAAACCTCACAGGTCAACCGTCATTTTACGTTAAACGGATGTTTCGGTCAGAAAAAACGGATATCGTAATTCTAAAGTATGAATGCTCAATTTAGCCGAATAAGTTCGGAAGAAGCACAGTTAGATGGTACATTAGGAGTCGATGCTCAGCGTACGGATAACGGAGAGCGACTGCTTCAGTCGTGTTCTGATCACAGTCATCCTAGCCAGTAAGCGCTTTCAACACAAAAGCGCACATCGAGTTATTTGGAGGCCCACAACTGCAAGGCGGTCATGCACTCAACGGGATCATGAGGCTATCAATTACCGATGAAGAGTCTCAATTGAAGATTGTCGTTCCGTCTGTGGTGTGAAACCTGACTCTGACCACGACATTGTGCGAGCCCGGATATCACTTTGCTTTCCATCAGCATTACATGTGTCAAAGCAGGGTAGTTGTATTTACCAACATCGACCAGTTGTAGTACCTCAAACTTATCGAGCTGAACTGGCTAAAAAGCTACTGGAAAGACGCAGTCATCCAGATGACGAAGATTGCTTGGAGGTTGAATGGAAGCGAGTTAAAGAAGCTATCCGCTCGGCTTTCAGAGCTGTTTATCCAAGCCATTTGACTCAATTAAATAAACACTGGATATCGTCGAGATCAGTGGGTCTTATTACTGCCAGAAAGGCCATACCAACAATTAGCGACTGCGGTGGCGCATGCAGACCTCTCATACACCGGATAATTGGGAGCTTGAAGAATGACAGAGAACGCCGGTGGACTCGGAAGACCTTCAATATAAGCAAGGGGCGCGCCCTATTTCGGTTGATTCGAACGACCGGTCAGCGAAACTAGGTGTGAAAAAAACGGAGCAGCAATTCATCCCCTCAATCGTCCTCATGGGATAAACACTTCAAGGAACAGATTAGCTGGTCTCCTTCAGCAAAACAACTGGAAGAACTCAGCGGGCCTGAATGGAACACCGAAAACAGTCCACCGTTAACAACAGAAATCCGGGGTGTGATATCAAATGCCCTGCGCGACAAGGCGCCTGGTGCTGATGGTCCAAACCCCGCACTCTCAAAAGGTAATGAGATCGTCGTGGACAAGCTGAAAACCACATTGCAGAAGAATTGGAACGAAAACAGAATACCAGTCGAATGGAACTCCTCGACCGCCATCCAAGCTTTCATAAAGAACATAAGAACGTCACGCGAAAACCATCGTGGCATCAGTCTGGTATCTGTCACATCTGAGATGCTCTCTGGTATTATTTTACGCAGTTTGATTGATTATTGGGAGACACGCGAATCAAGTTGGGTTTTGCCCCGGTCGAGGATGAACCGACCACATCTGTACCCTGAAACGAGTTCTTGAACAGCACCACTCCTTGACCTGAAAGCTGCTTTTGACTCTGCTGATAGTCAGAGACGTTGGCGGCGTCTGGAGATCAAAGGCGTCCCTTCGAAATTTATACCCCTCATGAGGTCGCCATACGCGAACTCCTATGGGCGCGTACGAGTATACGGTACGCTTTCGCTAGAATTTACCATGTCCAGTGGTGTAAGGCAGGACTGTCCTCTCCCACCTTTCCCGGGACGTTTGTCCAAGGACACTAAGTACGCGGACGACATTGCTTTTCTTGGTTCAGATCATTCAAAAATGCAAACCATTGTAGAAAACCTAAAAAAAACTCTGCCGCACGGTTTGGCATGCGCATCACACTTGCAAAGTGTAAAGTGTTGCTACAAGATTAGATGGGACCAAACCCAAACCTCACGTTTGCAGGTGTGCCAATCAACGTGGTAAATAAGTTTGTTTACCTTGGAGTTGTATAAATTCCGGCGGACTGGCTGGAGATAAGATTACTCTTCGAATCGGGAAGATCGGGGCCGCTTTCGCCAACCTCCGACGTCTATGGCGCCGAAGTGACGTCAGTTTGTCTGTCAAGGGCAGAGTTTACACTACGGTAGTGCACTCCATACTGAAGCAGTGAAGCGTCGGTGTTGAACACTGATGTCATGCTGTCGATGATGATGATGACTCCATACTGATTTAGGGATCAGAGACGTGGCCTCTACGCGCAGAGGACATAAGAAAGATGTCAGTGTTTGACCACCAGCGTCTCCGAAGCATTGGTCGAGTATGGTGTGAACATCGGATTAGCAATGCTGAGGTACGCCAGATGACCCTAAGAAGAAGGAATTACCCACGCTTCATAGGTTACGCTGGTTAGGACATGTACGCCGCATGCCAGAAGACCGTCTGCCTCTCAGAGCGACCAAGAGCTGCAGTGTATGACGCGGCCATGACTTATGAAAACCAGTTAACAGAGCCGGTTCCAAAGGTACCGCCTCATATCAAATGCCCTGCGCGACAAGGCGCCTGGTGCTGATGGTCCAAACCCCGCACTCTCAAAAGGTAATGAGATCGTCGTGGACAAGCTGAAAACCACACTGCAGAAGAATTGGAACGAAAACAGAATACCAGTCGAATGGAACTCCTCGACCGCCATCCAAGCTTTCATAAAGAACATAAGAACGTCACGCGAAAACCATCGTGGCATCAGTCTGGTATCTGTCACATCTGAGATGCTCTCTGGTATTATTTTACGCAGTTTGATTGATTATTGGGAGACACGCGAATCAAGTTGGGTTTTGCCCCGGTCGAGGATGAACCGACCACATCTGTACCCTGAAACGAGTTCTTGAACAGCACCACTCCTTGACCTGAAAGCTGCTTTTGACTCTGCTGATAGTCAGAGACGTTGGCGGCGTCTGGAGATCAAAGGCGTCCCTTCGAAATTTATATTCCTCATGAGGTCGCCATACGCGAACTCCTATGGGCGCGTACGAGTATACGGTACGCTTTCGCTAGAATTTACCATGTCCAGTGGTGTAAGGCAGGACTGTCCTCTCCCACCTTTCCCGGGACGTTTGTCCAAGGACACTAAGTACGCGAACGACATTGCTTTTCTTGGTTCAGATCATTCAAAAATGCAAACCATTGTAGAAAACCTAAAAAAAACTCTGCCGCACGGTTTGGCATGCGCATCACACTTGCAAAGTGTAAAGTGTTGCTACAAGATTAGATGGGACCAAACCCAAACCTCACGTTTGCAGGTGTGCCAATCAACGTGGTAAATAAGTTTGTTTACCTTGGAGTTGTATAAATTCCGGCGGACTGGCTGGAGATAAGATTACTCTTCGAATCGGGAAGATCGGGGCCGCTTTCGCCAACCTCCGACGTCTATGGCGCCGAAGTGACGTCAGTTTGTCTGTCAAGGGCAGAGTTTACACTACGGTAGTGCACTCCATACTGAAGCAGTGAAGCGTCGGTGTTGAACACTGATGTCATGCTGTCGATGATGATGATGACTCCATACTGATTTAGGGATCAGAGACGTGGCCTCTACGCGCAGAGGACATAAGAAAGATGTCAGTGTTTGACCACCAGCGTCTCCGAAGCATTGGTCGAGTATGGTGTGAACATCGGATTAGCAATGCTGAGGTACGCCAGATGACCCTAAGAAGAAGGAATTACCCACGCTTCATAGGTTACGCTGGTTAGGACATGTACGCCGCATGCCAGAAGACCGTCTGCCTCGCGGAGCTCTCCCAGCTCTCGCAGCCCTGCGCTGAGTGGAAGTGACCGACAGGTGAACAATGTACGACCTGGTAACGAGGTATCAAAACACTGATCAGTCAACTTAGTCGGGTCGACAACTGCCCCCTCCCTGGATGGGGACCTCAGGACTCAAATCACCAATGGTCAATGACACTGGCAGAAATGGCCCAATCACGCAGCTGGTGGCGCTCATACCTCAAAGCTATCGTCTTCAATGCGCAGCTATCCCGTTCCCGAAATGACTGAACATACTATCGCCTCGGAGGCTTGGCCGTATCCCCTACACTCTCCCACTTCCCGGCCATCAAAACTATAGAAGCTGGAGCCATCGTGCCTATGGTACACGGCTGATAATTTAAGTAAGGGCTTTTGGAATGATTGTGTTGGGCTAAATCCCTCCAACACCCACTCTTATGCTTTTCCTCATAATAAGGCTCTCCAGTAAATCGCGGTTGTATGGCAACGAAGTATCAGTGTTGTTGCACATCAACGTTATGCTTTCGACGACGATGATGGTGATGATGATTCAACAGCAGGTGCCGCACACAGACCGTCCCATATTTCAGTAGGGACGATATTCATACTAGAGCATTTTTGAGCACTGCTTACACGGTTGAAAACCATAGAAAACCATCAGCGGCAAACCGTGCTAAAATAAACTAAAGTGAACTTAACCATCAAGAGAAATACTGCCTATCAACTGCATGTGGATACGGAAACCGGAAAAATGTGCAGAAATTCGATGCAGATATGAAGCGATCCCTCCTGAAAATGAATTCAATCAATTGGATGGTTGAATGTAAACAGAACGTTTACACAAGGTTTGACAACAAGCTAGATGGAACGGCCCGGCCTAAATTATGAAACCGGTCCTAGGAAGGTTTTGAAATCAGTCGGACTGCTAACACTTGCGAATGAAACGGGTTTGTTTACCGTGCCATCCGATGGCGCATTTCCATCAACTCTGTCAGTCTTGTTTCTTGTCCTGGTAACGGTGCGTAGTAAGTCCGGTAGGTGGCAGCACGAACATCCGGACGCGGATCCTCTAACACCGGATGAGTAAGTTGGATCTGTTCGAACGGAGGTGACCATTTATCCGCATTCTTGAAAGCAAGATCAGGTGGAGGGAATAGCACAGGCGTGTGGGCAGTCTGGAGAGCAAATAAGCGGGTCAGAGAAGGAAATTATTGTAAGATGACATTTAGACAAATAAAAAAAGGATAAATGAATCAACGTAAAAATCACGATGGGTGTTGTTGAGGACAGGCACGAAATCACAAGCGTGGGAATTGACCATACTAATAGCCGGTCCCTTCTAAACTCAAGAGATACGCGTCCTCAACAAAAATGAACAGTACATACAGGCTTTACGGAAAACGTACGGGAGAAAGGAAAAAAATCTCTCCACTAATCTAAAAACCGGGAAGATCAAATTAAGTCAGTCTCCATCGCCAAACTTAGATGAACGGAACATTTAAGTTAAAGGAAGAGACTACATTAAAAATTCCCCACAAACGAGTAATGGTCCGGCTCAGTTAACTATAGTTAACCTATGAAAGTCCAAAACACGCACCTCAACAAACGTGGCGCCCAACGCAAGGGCCGTCGACGCGGTCTTCACAAACTCAGCTTGCCTAGATGGATCCTGGAGCTGGACACCAGAAAGCTCAAAGTCAGCAACAAACAGATCCAAAACTCGACGATCAATTTTGTCCATTGTGTCGTCGATGGGCAAACAGCCGGGAGATCTACCAACAGTCGCTCCTGCTTGACTAGCTCGAACCGAAGCAAAGTACAATTCGGGGGTTGTGTTTAGTTCCTCGACAAGCCGTCCAATAGCTTGGCAAGCCTCGGAAGCAGCAACCCGAAACGGTCCATCAGGATGCAACATCCGAATACAATCAGCCAAATCAGCGACACGACATAAAGTATCAGACATATCGTCCAGCACCTGAAACGAAACAGGTGAAGAAAAAACGAGATAAATTTCGAAGTCACTAAAATACTCCATATCCAGAGGTTCAGGAGGGAAAAGATGTAAGCAGCGTATGACCTTGTGCAAAAACTATCGTTGACTAAGTATTTACTTCCTCTGCGTTTGTTCCTTTGGACAGTAACAGCACGTAACAGTACGATCGGTAGCAAACACGCCCAAACTCTCATGCTTTTTAGTCAGTATTAAGGGGTCATTCGAGATGACCCATGAGCCAACACCGATATGCGCTATCTACGATGGTGTGTGAGGTATAGAAATCAACTCCACATACTCGAAAAATTGGCAGAAGGACCGTAGTTCTTAGGAACAGCAGTTAAAACAACCGCCATCTGTTCACCCGAATAGACGAATCAGGTAACACTTGTTGACAAACTAGGTCAGATGATGCTCATGGTTCAACCAAAATACGATACACTTCACGCTAAAATAGGGTGTTGCAGTGAATGCCTATTACAGAATCAAGCTATTGCTACCGCAAAAACGACCAACCATCGCCAAAATACTTTACAACGGGGTGTTTTCATGGCATTCTAATTCTTTCATCATCTGTGGCATTTTCTAAAACACTAACAGTCCAGTTCGGTCCACGTACTAAAGGCAGTTCGTTGCAACTGACAAATTCTTTTGCCGAGAACAAGGAAAATGAGAACCCATGAGAAGGAGACAATGACCTGGCCACCTCAGAGAAGCTGAATGGATGTTTATTTTATCAGAGGGGAAACGGAACGGATGCGCACGACTGCCACCGGCTCAGTGATCGGGGTAAATCTGGCAATCAGTCTTCAACCAGCGGTCCCCCACCAGGGAAAACTGTAGTAGCTAACGCGACTGAGGTTACTGGTTAAGCTATCACACTCAGATGCCATGTCACCGACCACCTCCCCTTGATCGTTTTCACTCCGCGTACAGTTGCACGAAAACGGCCCTATCAATTAAACTGCCCTGTGACGTGAGAACGTAATCCAACCAGTCTAACCTGTGGGATATGGTTAGCTCGTCCAACAGGTTCAATTTTGTACTGCTGGTCCGATATATGAACCATAGCCCGCCAATGGTTCTGAGATACCCGTGGTCAGGTAGCAAGAGCTTTCCGTCTGTTGTGCGAAAACATTACGACGTTGACCCATAAAATGGTGTGGATCAAACTGCTATAAAGCACTTCATCATGGCGAACACGAACGTCATGCAAGTCGCGCAGGTGATTAAGGTTGACAAAACTTGTCCAGCTCCATCACTTCCCGATCTGCCATGTGGTTCTGTCTTTAACTCGACCATCGGGGCTTATACAACTACCTAGGCAAATAACTTTACCTAACGTGTCGACTGGCTCATGTGTAAGAATGAGATTTGAACTTGGTCACAAACAACGTTCGATCCAAAGTTCCAGTATGAAACACCTGCAAAGCCAGCGACAGAAGCATTTAGGTTTGGTTCAGACCTAAGTAGTGCGATATCCTTCGCGCATTCAACCGCTGTGAGGGAACGTCCGATGGCAAGGAGGATGACCGCAAATAACATATCAGTAATAAAGTCGCAGGAGAATGGCAACAGGAGGCAGACTTGTGTGATGCCAAGTGACACAATGAACTCAAAGGTTATTTAGAAATGTTTTCGAACGTAGTTGTCGTACAATGTGACTATATACACTGACTGACAAGGCAAAGAAACACTCAGTGGCGAGGGGCAATTCACTAGTAATATTGCCAAATGCTACTTGTTCCAAATAGTGGCTATAAATAGTCTAAGTCGACTAAAAGAATAGACACGGAGCAAAACAGTAGGTACCATAGTAAACAAACCTGGACCATTTTCCGCGTCCTGTTGGGGGACAGTGCCTCATTTAACAATGACTTGGAACGTTCCGTGGCATCCTGGACAAGACTGGCGAATCCATTCGGACTGATGAGCTCTTTGGTTAAAAAAACACCTGAAAACACCTGCGATCTTCAGGACGAAAATTCTAACCTGTCACTTTAGGCGAGTCGGTTACCGTCAAATCCTGAGGTCGGTTGAAAGCGTCTGCCAAAGAACCCAATCGAGCATAGTGGATGAACCGGGGCGAGTGTGCCACCAGGTGTTGGTAATGTCGGTTTAACACCCTACCCGATAATTTATTCAGTGAGGCTACAATAGTAGCAAGCATGTGCATTGGAAATCAAATTGATGCCTCTGAAATTCCAGAAAAGAATGAATTATCAATGGCGGAAATGACTGGATAAGTGATAGCGGTAATATAAAAGCTAGGTATCATCAGGGACATCACCACCATCATCACTCTCAACACAGACAGCAACACTAAGGTTTCATTAAATACAATAATAATCGTCCAGCTGTAGCACCCTTTCGGTGCCTAGCTGCCATGCCACACGAAGGAGGCACGAGGGCTGGGATACTGCCAGGTTGCCCAAGCCTAGACAGGGAAAGTCGAGTGGCAGAGGTCGGGTTCGAACCACGGACCTTCCTGTCAGTAAATTCGCGCTCTAACCACTTGGCCCATCTCGCCCATTGCTGAACCAAAAACTTTACCTCATAATATTTAAAGACTTAGAGTGAAAACAAAAGTGTGGGTGAGTGGGAATACCTGGCTCCGCCCAATCGCAAGCATCCTAAGGTGCCTACACCTCCAAGCGCTCAGCCTAACAATCTGGAAAGAAACTCACAACAAGAACGCCACTGACATCAGCCGCCATTTCTTACAATGCCTCCAGCCAGGTGCAGAAAAGGACCCTATCCTCATCATCACCATCATCGACAGCATGACATCAGTGTTCAACACCGAGGCTTCACTGCCGTACAACCATGACTTATTTGAAAGCCTTATTGTGAAGAAGAGAATAAAGGTGGATGCGGGAGGGACTTAGTGCCAGCTTAACACAATCATTCCGAGGTGCCTACACTTCCACACATTCACTCAGGCAATCTGGACAGAAACTGACAACAAGAACGCCACTGACATCGGTTGGCAGCCATATCTTGTAGTGTCTCCAACCAGGCACAGTGAGG